AGTTTCTGTTACCATGGAGACGGTAATGAGCTCCAACTTCAGCTGATGTTCATCATTTCATCTAAAATCATCTGATGGATCATCTGAACATGAGAAGAATAAAAAGCAGAGCTGAAGGCTCAGTTTGGTTCTGGTTCCTGCTGGATTCTGTCATCAGCAGCTTTGTTCACGACACAATCAGCATCCTTTAAAACTCACATGATGTGACATTTATTCTCTTTGTTCAACAAGAGTTTGAAACAAGTTACAGACAGAAAGCAGCAACTTAGTCTCAGAGAAATGAAATAAAAATCAACTCAAAGTCGTTCAACAGAAAACAGTTATCTTTAATATCATCCAGCCTCGACTGGACTCTGAGAGAAACTTACTGGTTGTTGGAGGAAACACTTTGTTTGAAATCAATAGAAAGATCCTTTGAGAAGTTGCTCTTTAAGGACACACAGCTGGGTCCAGGTCCAGGTCCAGGTCCAGGTCCAGGTGTGTTCCTGTGAATAAAGTCAGTGTGTTGCTGTGAGTGCTGAGCTCTCACATGGAGAAGAGTCGTGGACAGTTGGAGATGTCACCTCTGATCTTTGCTCTGGCTCTCATGTTCCCCACACAGAGTGGTTTTAGAGGGAGGGACTCCCTCCTCTCTGTCCTCACACTGATCCATGCTGCTGAATTCACATCAGCTCACACACACTTTCTACCTTCACCTGCAGAGGAAACACAAATCATTCATCTGAACATCAACTCTGATCCTCCTTTCCATGATGTGTGCTGTAAAAAGATCAGCTCCTCCTCCTCTGATTGGCTCTTTGTTTCTTCTCAGCTTCAGCTGAATGCAGTCAGACAGCAGAGTGAGGCAGAGGAAGCTGCATCAGCTGCTGGACTTCTACTATCAGTCCACTAGATGGAGTCATGGAGCTGCAGTCCAGCACACACACATTTCATTCACTGACACACACTGACTGAGTGACTGGAAGCTTCAGTGCGTTCACGTTCACTCAGTTCAACATTTACAGCATTTCAGCTGATAGAAGCTGCAGCAGAGGATCATCAGTGTTCAGAGCATCACACTCATTCCTCCTGTTCTGTTTCACACTTTAGAGCAGGAACTACAAACAGAGACACGTGTTAGATCTCAGCTGTTGGGAGGACTTGATGAAAGCAGAGAAAAGCTTCACATCATTCTTCTTCACTGAAAGTCTGACTGAACGCAGACTTCACAGCATTTCACCAAAATAAAAGTCCCTGATTTTTCCCTGAGAGAATCCTGAAATTCCAGGAGATCTTTCAGTCACAAAACACTCACAACTCAGCTTCTTAGGTGGCGGGCAAAGATTTATTGTAGCAGTGAGAGATCTGATGCTTCAACGTTCTGAGTCATGAAAGGAGTAACAAACTGGTAAACTGGAGTAGCACAACATGGACTCACTGGTACCAGAATACCAACATTAATACACGTGCACATCCAAATCTGTGAAAAATCATCTTTTAATCATCAGATCAGTTCAAATTCTCTCAGTTTTCAATGTCTGGAAAATGTGAAAGTGGTTTTCCAGGTTTTCAAGGCTCCAATTTCCCTCTATTGATGATGAAGTCAACAGAGTTTTTATTTTAAAAACACTAAAATTACTAAACGTTTATGATTCTTTCACCATGAAATGTAATAAAAATCACAAACGAGACAAATTAAAGATGAAAAATGTTCTTAATACGACACATTTGAAGAAGATTGTTTTCATCAAGTTTCTGTTAAAGCTCAAAAGTATCAAAATAAAAATGTCCTTAAATGATTCAAAAGGTGTCCATCTGCATCAACCTCTGAAGTCCAAAAGGACAAAATGATTTTATTGTTAAACTGCAGTTTTTGGTGTCACATGATCCGTGTGCGGGCCGGACTTTGAGCAGCCCTGCTCTAACTCCACAGAGAGTCTCACAGAGAGAACACATTCACATTTATAAGGAATGTTCTGCATTCAGAACTGAAGAACTCTAAACTTGTTCTCAGTGGAACAAGTTCATCCATCACATCATCACATTTTCACTCTTCTTGAGTTTGGACTCACCTGCTTCCTGTTCTGTTGGGAGATGGTACGAAGCTGTTTTCCTGCAGGGATCAATAAAGTTTGTGTCCGAGAGATAAAGTGCAGCAACACGTCTGTTTCCAGTTTCACAGACAAACATCAAAGCTGAGACAGACTCACAGCAGAAACGCTGACAGACGACACACACACGTCCTCTCACATCTAAGAGTGTGTTCTGACGGAGCTGACCCGGATCACTGCTGCTGGAAACAAAGAATGACTCACAGCGACGGCTGCTGATCATCTTCGTTACAGGAAGAACCTGAAGTTCCACTTCTTAGGAATGTTTTTCTGCGTCTGTTTCCTCCTTCAGAGAAGAAAACACACGTGAACAAAGAGACACCAACACAATCTTCTCTATATATACAGTCCTGTCACTGTTGGC